TTTCATCTCTTGAACAAAATTTTCCCATTTCCTTATGAAACAATTTTGTTCATGTCTAGAAAATCTCTTCCCCACTAGTACATGTAACTATTTCAAAAAGCACTGTAGTAGCAACTGTCAAGATTACAAATATATTTACATTTACCCAAGACTGAACACAAGCACACAGACTTGTGCAACTAAACTGTCACAAAACAGCTCTCAAACTCCGCTAGATATATTACAGCAGCAGTAACACACTGAAACCTGTTCCAACGATAATTCTCAGTTAAAAATCCTCAGTCTTTGAAGATAATTCATATAAAAAGTGAGTCAGTTTCCAACTGCTGAACTGGACATCTGTTGTTGTATGTCAATTCAAAAATTTAACCCAGAAAACTAATTATATAACAGTGCCTTTAGACTAATCACATTTTATATATTAACAGCAGAATTCCAACATTTTTAGTTACACAAAGGTAGCAAAACACAATGCCAAAAATCAAAGTTACTGCTTTGTACAGCCTTTGAGCTCAAGCAATAAAGAACAGTGCAAAACTGTTTGCAAGGTGACAGAAGAAATTAATCAAAACTTCTGAAACAATGGGAGTTGGTCTAAGATTGTAGTAACGCATTCTAAAAGGGTCTGGGCAAGAGAGAAATATCACCCGGCCCACAGAAAATGCTCGAGCCTCTGAAAGGTCTTTAAGTGCTATCTTCATCTCTGTCCACACTTACATAGGCACAAGAACTGTGCAGTTTTGAAAAATCTTAGTTTCAGAAAGGAAAGTGTTAAAGCTATACAATTTAATATAGAAAAAAAAAAAAAAAAAACAAAAAACAAACCAAACTGCTTTCTCCCATACCTTGTTTAAGACATTGGTTTGTTTATTTCCAGTGAAATGATATTTGAATCTTTTCTGAAGAGGATTCAGCATGATCTGCATTGGAAGGATAATGGGTGGCGATGCTGGTAAGGAGTACTTTTCTGGAAATTGTTTAGGTTTGGTTAACAGTTCATCTCTAAGTTTGACAGTCAAGGACAAATTTAAATGTTGAATTCTCCCAACATCACTGTTATAATGGAATGGGTTTATAAAAATGAACACTTCTTAATTCTACCTCAATGGCTGACGACAGTATTATGCAATCAATGCAGTTCCTCAAATATGAAGGATACTTAAAGTATTTCAGTTTATATAATATTTAATACAACTTAGGCTACTAAGGATTATTTTTGCAATGACAATACAAGTCACTTGAGTTAGTTTGATTTAGGAAACTCATATAATTAAAAAAAAAAACCCAAACATGGAAAACCACCATCATCAGTAGCAAACACAGGGGCTGTCCAAGAGACAGATTTATTCATAGTTGTTAAAGGAGGAAAAACAGCTCATGAGATTAATAAATGCAATACATGATTTTCCATTTTCACATAACTGATTTAAGTGACCCAGTCTGCCAGACCAAAGCTGTTATCAACTCAGGGTTCTGCACAATGGCCTTGTATCTTCCCATTTCAGGATAAAAAAAAAAAAAAAAAAAAAAAGGCAGGCACTACCAATCCAGGAAAAATTGCTTGGTTGCACTTTAGCTATGCTTTGTTTAGTTAACAGAGAAAAGGGAACAGGATGAGCAGCAGTGCCTTTTGATTAACCTCAAAGGCAGACTACTATCACTGCACATTAAGAGTCCTTGCATGGTCTCCCCTTGTTGCAAAGTCTCCTTCAGAGACATGTTTCTTTAGCTTTCCCTCTTTTACTTCTGGGATGGGACATATTAAAGTGATTAAGGCTGATTTTAAATAAGGCTATGAAAGGAAAAGCATTAATTGTGTAAAATAAAATATACATTTTTTTATTAACATGGGTAACACTGCGGGAGCGTGTAAGGCCTGATCCTCATGAAAGTTCAACTGTCAGCTACCATGAGATCACCAGAGCTGATGACCTGGAGTTACATTGTTGCTACTGCCAAAAAGGACAACTTTGGCACCTGGAATTTTCTAAACAAATAAAGATAAATCCTCATGTTAACACAAAGTAACATAAAGTCAAATTATCTTCTGCTGTTTAGGAAGAAAAAAATTTTAAATAATTCTCCTTCTCTGACATTTATTACTTTTAATAAAACACACCACAACTATTTAAAAGGATACGAGGTTTGCAATTTCAGAAGCTGACAAAACAACATCTCCAAATTGTTGTATACATCAGGAGCACTGGCTGGTGCAGCAAGGCCAAATGCCTGAGACTGTGGTGGCCCCACAAATGGCCAACGGAGCTGGGTTAGTACCTCCTCAAAGTCACTGCAAGGCAAAACAAGGGCTTTCACACTAACCTACAGTAGAGCGCAAAGACAAGGGAGCGACAGTACATCTCTTACCTCGACAACTTGTCCTTAAGAATTTTATGCCAGAATTTAACGGTGGATCTCACAAAAGCAAGAAGATGAGAACAAGATGACTCCTGAAGTTTAATATCCAGCTCTGCCATGAATGCTAGAGTACTGGCTGCCTCTGGAACATTGTTGGTCATCAGATATTGCTGAATGCTATCACTATAAAAGTCAAGGCCAAAGACTCATTGAAGATAACAGAAAATAATTATTTGTATATTGAAAAATGAAGACTAAACTTTCTCAAAGCTAAAATGTGTTAATGATGGGACAAACTAGGTTACCAGTCTCAGAACACATATGCAGTAGTCAGAAATTTTACCTTAACTCTTCTATTCGTGAAATCCACTTAAGATAGGCCAGGTGTCGTTCAATCTCTTCTACTTGACTAATGAGTACATCAAGATCCTCCATCCATGGCTGAGCTTTCAGTAAGTGATTGTTGATTGCTTCAGATAGAATAGTTTCTTCCTCTAGAAGCTGACTCAGGGACTTTTTAGCATCTTCTGCATTCTTTAAGGCATTCTGAATTCTTTTAGGGACTTCTGATGAAACTGTAAGGACCTACATTCACAGAAAAGTGTTAAATCTGACATAAACCCACTGTTCTATGTAGAGCAGTACCATTTGAGATATTAATACATTAACTATATTTAACTGAATTAAAGCAATCAGTTATATAGCATATTCAGAAGAAGAAGGGGAAAAATAAATACGCTTACCTGTTCTTCTAACTGCTTCTTATTTTCAGACAGCTTATCAATAAGGTTGTCTAGCTTCCTCAAAGAATCATAGTCATTTCCAATTTCTCTTTCCACAAATTCAGAAACATAGTATGGAATATCACAGTGATCTAGATCTCTAATGGCTTCTTTCTTTCTAACAGCAGCAGTTGCCATGTCTCTGAAATACTGATCAGACAATTTCTAATTAGTCACCACTAAGACAGCACAAACACTATTGATCTTGTGAAGACACAAAACTCCATGAAAAGCTGGGCAGTTCAATTTAAATTGAAACTTAAATAAGACATTCAATAAATAAACCGCTTTAAGTGAGACAATTTGCTGGCATAAGTCTTAACTGAGATACAATAAAACCTTGCCTACACATCCAACTGGTGACCTATTGTACATTAACTACTGAAGAGAAATATGCTTGTTAATTTCTTCTTTCCCCAAAAGTGTGAATTCTCTTAAATTATTTCAATATATATGCAATTTCTATATATGTAATATGGAAAACTTCATGAAAAATACTGGGAAAATATTTTTGTAAGATAAAAAAGAAGATAATAATGTTCTGCTTTACCTTTTCATACAGTTTAGGCTGTTCCAGAGATGTCAATTGATGACTGATGTATTACTAGCAAAGTATCCACTCAGGCCTTGAAATGATTTGTAACGTAAAAGGACCACTGAAATACATGTAAGAAAACCCATACAGTATAACAGAAGAGGCACTTGCTCATCCACACATTTGTCAGCATCCAGAGAAAAACAAACCTGAAATTGAGAAGATGATCATGTACAGTGAAACAAAAAGGCAACAATAATGAGTGTTTGGCTAGTTCAATCCTCAACTTTTTAATATCACTTTCAAAACAATATTTAAAAATATAATTTGTACACTTACACTTCATCTGCTACAAGCTTTAACTAAGCAACCCCCCACACACACACCTATTAAACAGGCAAAATAAGTGAGAAAGTGGTTCAAATGACAAGCCAAAGTTGGACACGCGATATTGAGCACCAGGAGGAACAAACTGGAAGACTAAGTGTGTTGCTGAGGAAGAAGTGGATAACGGATGGAGTAGTAAAATGCACCAAGCTGTTTTACAGCAATGAAAACAAACAACGCCGCGGAAGACTGCTAACCAACTAGTGCTCTTTAACTGAGAGGATGAAGACATGGCAGGAACAGGACCCCGGGGAGCACCCCCCCCAACTTTCTCCCCTCTCAAGCACGCAGCTCCACACCCACCTTCGCCTGAGGCCCGGGCCCTTCCACCGCGCCTCGGGAGGCTCCGCGGGCCCCGGGGAGGCTGCGGGCCAGGGGGACCGGGCCCCCCCTTTCCCCGCCAGCCGCGACCGCGGGCCCCGCGAAGGCGCTGACAGGGCCGCGGCCCCGCCTACTGCCGCGTCGCGGCACCGCCGGCGGCACGCATGCGCACTACACCCCCCTGCCGCTCCTTTGCCCCGCCAGCAGCGCGCAGGCGCGGGGAGGGGGCCCGGCCCAGCGCCTCACAGCGCGGCGGGCGGCCGCGCGTTGAGCGGGGTCGGCTCGGCTGAGGCCGAGGAGCCGCTGTGTTGTGGTGTGGGAAGCGCGGCCCGCCGGCTCAGGAGCCTTCAGCGCTACGTGCTGCTCGAGCCGCCTCCGCGGCTGAGGCGCTTGAGGGGCGCGAAGAGCCCCCTGGCCAGCACGGCCTGCTGGCCGTCTTCTACTTACACCATTTTAGTAACACAAGCATTTTATTTGGTTAAGAAAGTGGCTGGAAATACAGTCTTTTTTAGAACAGCTTTACAACTTTTTTTTTTTTTTTTTTTTTACCAGGGGCCTGTCTCAGCCACTGCAAGAAATAGACAAGATGTGTAAAGGAAGCAGCTACTGCTACACACTCAAGACTTTCAGGTTAATTTATTTTCAGTACCTGTTCTTTGGTACAGGTATTAGTAAAGCTGGAAAATATGCACAAGTATTTTCTCAAAAGACCAATGACTTAAAACAGCTGTACATCTTTACAGCACATAAAAAGCCTTGCTAACAGAATCCTCTACTGCATCAGTGCAAATGCTACCAGCAAAACCCTCTGTGATATAAATGTTCATCGATATCTTAATTTTGTTGTAACTCATTTTCCTAAGCTGTAGTTCAATGTATCTGAAGAGACTTAAAGGTGTGCTGAACTCATTAAAACATTCACTGCTTGCCAAAAAAACCCAAAGCAAGCTAAACATTCTTCCAGGTCTGAAACTATTATAAGCCCATTTCTTAGATGCACCCATGTTACAGCTCAAGCAATTACTCATTCATTAAAAAGCACCAGTCACTAAGATCAATATTAATTTACAGCCACCATCTTGCAAATGACTACTGAAGTTAAATGCTAGCACTAATAAAAACTTAAAAAAATACAAATCTCTTACTACCAATCTTTAAAGATTTGTACAGAACAGGTAAATAGGAAAATGCTTTATATATGTTCAAATCTAAGTAATTTTTTGCAGTTCATTCAGCGTAACCAAGTAGTATTCAGTTGTGTCTGGTTTTTTATGCTCGTGTCCATTTTCAAAACTTCTCGAATCGCCATGGTAGCATAAGTGGATGGGGGAAGAGAGAATTCCATCTTTAGTGCCCTGAATTTACCATCTATCATAAGGGGTAAGAGGAGACACAAAGCAAGAAAAAGTTATTAAGGACATAAGTAATGCTTATTATGCCATCTAAACTGGACTAAAATTTTTCATGACCAACTCCCCCAACCCATAAAGCAGAACAACCACCACCACCACCCTCTAATTTATAGTCCACAGTGGAATTTCATAAAACAACTTCTTTTTAACATTTGCTCTCAGCAGGAAGTGGTGTTTTGGGGGTCATCTTCTTCTAAAAGCAAAATTAACTTTTATTCTTTCAAAACTGAATTCCTAGCCTCTCTACACTATTTCTGGAAAGCAGTGTCAAAAGACCTTGTGACCAGGGTTATATAAAAAAAATTCCATTGAATTCTGTTAAGTATTTGAGTAGTCTCTTGTATTCAGCACAAATAATACATGCTCAAGCATATAGACAATTTGTGGCTTAATTCCACCTCCATGCATTTCACAGACATTTTAATGCTAAGCATTTACTCGATTTTACAGATGTGCGTAAGAAAATTTAACAGTCAATGTAGACTGCTGGAAGAATCACTTGCACGCTTGAGAAATAAGGGTCCTTATTTAGACACCTAACTTCGGATATCTTCAATACCATTGCTTAACAATCTAGTTAAATGAAAGCTCTTCCTTAAAAAAGCTTTCAATATGTATCAGTTCAAAGCAACAGCCAGATCAAACTTCTATTTTGCAAACATCCACAGAAAAATCAACTCACCTGTAGGAAGAACTGGTAATGGCTTTCCTTCCAGCTTATCCAAATCTGTAGTAAATAATGGGATTCTGGGATCGTCATATGCAACAACCTCCCTTTATAATATACAAAATATTTAAAAATTAGTTTTAATTATTTAGAATAAAATTTCTATCTTATTTTATATACATTTATTATAATAGTATTAATTTTTATTATTCCAATATGGCAGTTACAACTGAAATGGAATTGATTTTCTAATAAAGTAAGGTAAGGTGGCATTTATGGTGTAGTAACTGGTAAAGCTTTATGTAGAAGATTCTCCTCTGATGAAGATCACTTAAAAAAAAAAAAAAAAAAAGTAGTGAGAAGTTTCTTTGCATACTCATCTGTTTCATTCCCTCATGGCTGGTCAGGATTTCCAGCTATACAAGAAGTACAGTTTATTAAACTGTGGGAAGAATGGTGTCAACACTAAGAATACCTGGGGGGGGGCGGGAAGGGGGAGGGAAGAGAAACACCTTCATTTTTAAGAAAGCCATCTAAATGTCTTTGAAAGGGCTTAAATACATATTCTACACTTTCTGCCATTCATGTAACAGAAATTCCATATATAATGACAAGGCTGAAAAAGTAACTAGGAAGTAGATAAGATTTAAACATCAGCACTAATTAAAATAAAGTGTAAACATTTGTACTTTTTGTCTCCCTCCTAAACTGTCTATATTTTTTTCCTATGCATCAATGATCAAGTCTTTCTACACATTTGTACAATTTATTCAGTTGCCATATGACAACTAGGCTGTATCTCTAAGAAATGATTTACTAGGTTTAAGTGATACAAATCTTTCTGATTGACAGGTACTTGGAAACCAACTTTCTCATAGCAAGACTACAAATACCCCCTGATTTGAATATCACCTATCATGGTTTCAACATAAATAATTACCTAAGAAATGTTCAGGCAAGCCCTTGCAAGGAGTGTAACAACTAGACAGATGTCTTAACACTCATGCATCACAGAACCAGAAGACCAAGGAAGAAGTAAGGTAATGGTTCAACTTCAGTCGCACAAAAAACAGGAGGGAAATGCACAGAGATTCCTCCCTACCTATGCTTCAGTCTACATGTACATCCCGTGGGTCAATCTAACAGTTCCTGTACATGGTTATCCCACATATACTCTACGCTGTCAATTCAAGGGTAGTTTTCTTTCTCCTCCTACTTACCAATTGACATTCTGAGGTCGAATGATAATCTTTCTATATGCTCCAGAAAGTGAATAATCTCTGATCTTATGCCTCATGTTGTTAATATCAAGACTGTCAGCTACTAACATTTCCTTGTAGGCCTCACCAACTGCAAGAGAGGAAAATATTTAATAGGAGAGAGTGTAGTGCAGCCAATTGAAACAGTCTGTTTTCATGGATCATTCCTTCCCTTATATTTAGTAGTTTTCAACACACATGGGATAAATATTACAGAGAAGTTTAAAATTACTTATTGTAAATCTCATTACCTACAATGTTTGCTTCTATAACCTGATTAGTAGAGGCAGTAACCAAGAAAGAATCTTAGCAAATCAAAGTTTCAGCTGAAAACAAAATTTACAAAACAATTTCTTGACATCTCCTACATGCTTTCCAAATAGCTAAACTTCGCCAAGACCAGTATCAGGTATATGGAGGAAAAAAAAAAACAACAAAAAAAAAAAGGCCAGACTACCCATTGCTCTATTTTTGAAAAAGCAGCAGCATGAAATGAGGTAGGAGAGCCCTCTGAAGAAATTATGGTAGGGGCCTTTAAGTACACTGCCAAGAGAAGGAATAATTCTATTAGTCTTGTATCCTTAAGTAGGGGCCTGTACATGCACACCTGGGGAAGACAGGGATGGCAGTGGAAATACAAGAATATACTGCAGCTAAAATGCTGTTTAGTACCTTTGATTTGCAGTGTAATTACTATCATTACCTCATGCAGCTGGGAATTTTAAACAGGAATAATTTAGGGTTACTGTGGGCAAATCCCAATACAAATATATGGAATGTAAAACACTGCAGCTTTTCTTTCCAATCTTTTAACTCAATGTGGTTCAGAGCCACACCTCATCACAAATAGATTTACCTTCCAAGTGTTTCAGAGATGGATAATAAATGGGATCCTAGCTCTGGGACTTAGCTCTGATAGGCAGAGAGTCTCAAGAAACCTGATGCATCTTTTAAGGACAACCAAAAGAGCAGTTCAACCCAATATTGACAAAAACAGGCATATGTCTTGGGAGACTGGTTTGGTTAAGCAGAGAACTCATGACTAAACACATAGGTAAGGACATTAGGACACATTCAGTAGGTGAAAGCTAGGGCCAGCTACAAAAAAGGAACATAAAAACATTGTCCAAGGCATGTAGGGATGGTGTTAGGAAAGCCAAAGCTCAGCTAGAGTTGAAATCAGCAACAGACACCAAGAGCAACAAGAGTTAAACTGCAACATCAGGAATAAAAGAATACAACAAGGAAAACATTGGCTTGCTGCTAAACCAGGCAGCTGGCCTAGTGACAGACATAAGGCTGATGGCCTCAGCACCTCCTTTGCCTCAGTCTTGACCAGCAAGGTCTTCCAGGCCTCTGTTCCTGGAGGCAAGTTTCAGGAAAGAGATGGACTACCAGTAGTGGAAGAAGATACAGGCCAAAAGAGCTGGCTCACATTATGGTAAAGCTTTTCTCTATCATCTCTGAAAGATCATGGAGATCTGGGTTGATCTCAGGTGACTGCAGAAAACCAAGTGTTGCACCATCTTCAGAAAGGGTAAGAAGGATGATCTAGGGAATTACAGACCAGTCAGGCTCACTTTCCCAGGTCCCTGGGAAAAAATAATGGAGCTATTCCTCTTGGAACGCGTTTCTGGGTATATAGTGGGAATAACAGTGAGCATGGTTTTACCAAAGGGGGGAAAACAAAAAGAGAAACCAAAAAACCCCACCGACCTTACTGCCTTCTATGATGAATTTATTACATCTGTGGATGAGGGGAGAGCAGTGACTCTTGCCTACCTTGCCTTTAGCAAGGCTGTTGACTTGTTCCCACAGCACCCTTTCATCCAAGGCTAGAACATTACAGTGGGTGGACTGCTGGATGAGTAGAGAACTGTCTGGTTCATCATCTCAAAGGACAGTCACTACTGGTTTGAGCTCTACTTAGAAGCTCGTTATAAGCAGAGTTCCTCAAGTAACTGGGATGTGTCCTGTTAAATGCCTTTATCAGCGTATGTGGAGGAGGAGCTAGAATTCACCCCAACAAGTTTGTGGACAAAATCAAGCTGGGGCAGCAGTTGATACACCCAGGGGCAGGACTGCCATTTGGAGGGACCTAGGCTGGCTAGGGGAATGGGCCAAGAGGAACTTCATGATATTCAGCAAGGACAAAGTCCTGTAACTGAGAGTGATTAACTGCTTGCAATGGTACAGGCCAGGGAGCAACTCTGCTGACAAGTCACCTGGGACTCCCAGTGGAAAGGAGACTTAACAGAGAGCCCTGGCAGCAACAAAAGCCAATAGCAACAGAAGCTTAGCAGTAGCTATACCAAGAAAAACAATTGCTGTCTTTCACTGGGCACTCATGAGACTACATTTAGAATGGTGTGTCCAGTACAAAGTAGGTCCTGATAAACTTGAATGAGTCCAATGGAGGACCACCCCAATGGTCAGGTGGGTCCATACCCTATGAAGAAAATATGAGAGAGTCTGAGAGAATGGGGTTTCTTTAGCTTAGAGAAGAGAAGACTTAGAGGAGAACTTAGAGACTATTTGTTCTTGAAAGTTTCAGACAAAGCCCTGAGCAACCTGGCCTGAATACAGCACTGACCTTGCGTTGACCAAAGAGTTGGACCAGATGGCCTTCTGAGGTCCTTTCCAACTGAAATGATTCTACAACTCTATCCCTTAACAACGTCATGTTCAATGCAGATAATTATAGATCACTCAACCTATTCCATTAAGGACAATTTAGATCCAATACACTGTATTACAGGAGATGAAAGATAGGATCTCTTTTTTTTTTTTTTTTATTTTTAAAACATCCACATTGGTTAATATTTAATTAAACAGATCTGGGTTTTTTTCCCTATCTTCAAACATTTGCTTGGGTTATACATTCTAGAAGTTTGGTCTGTTTTCTAATTTAAAAATCAAATGCATACACTTTTCAACTAACATTTCACCATTTTTTTTCCCCTTCTGCTGAGATAAATAATTTTGCCTCAGTAAAAAATTTCTTTCTTTGGAAAAGCTACTAGCTAAAAAGAAGTATGAATCAGATTTATGTTAAAGGAAACAAGATACAATGCAGACTATTATTATCACAATGAGAGAGGCTGACAGTAATGTATCAGAGATCTGAAAGAGTGTATTGTTTTAATGGTCACCAAGGTTGTATAGATCTAATCTTCCTTTTAAGAACAATCTTAAAGCAGACTTACATTTTCAGAGTAAGTACATAAGTTAACAGTCAGACTTACTTTTATGCTTTGGATAAATAACATCAAATCCAGGCAATGGCATCACTACATCATGGATAGTGTAGTTATCAACATCTCCTTCTTCAATATGAACAGCTGTGGCTACAATCAGGACAGACAAATTAAGAGTTACCAGTATGGATGCCTGTGATGGTTAACATTACTAAATTTAAAAAGAACCATTTGACTGAAACGAGCTTATCAGTGGGATAACTACTGTGTTTTATCTCAACTTAATAGACAATATTTCCAAGAAAAGATGTAACAGTTTTCAAGGCTGTCACTGTTACCAGCAGAATCACAGCCTGGCTTCCAGTGACTTTTAAAGCTGAATGAAGATTGGACTACTAGATGAACACTCCCCTTACCAGACATCAGACATACATGAAAGAGAAATACTGTGTATATTCTCACCCCAGGGAAATGCCAGAGCAAATCCAAGTGAAGAAAGTTTTAACTGGGTGGAGCGTCTGCTTTACAAGATACTAACGCAAACAAAAATTTCTGCGGTTAAAACAGTCATAACACCCTTCCATAATTCTCTATAGCTCAACTAGGTTTGAGTACATTCTTGAGAACAATTGGCCCTTCATAGTCTCTCTTCCCTATCCAGCTATTTGGAAAACCAAGCAAACCAACAGCTCATGGAAGCGTAATACTCAACTTCTGAGTCTTTACGAAATTTTACTAAAATTTGCCAATGGATACAGAAATCACTGGACCAAAATGGGTGAGAGAGAAAAAAAAAAAGTATGTAAGCAGTATCACAAACAGATACGTGCCTTGTTTTCCTAGGAATTTCAACCACACAGCATCACTGGCTTTTTGTTTGTCTGATTTTACCTCCTTTAAGTGTGAGATCTCCTGGTACAGCTCTAAGCCCATATTCTTCTATTCTCTTGCTCACCATATTATTCCACACATAACTCTGGTAGCTATGAATATACATTAAACGATTATTCCTTGGTATCTAGAGGTAAATAAAAAGCAAAACATTAGAAAGATGTATTTTTAGTTTTTTCTCTCAATTATAACCAAAAAGGCATATATTTGAAATATTACCTTCTCCAGCAGCAAGACTAACACAATTTCTTGGTACACCAATTTGATTTTTGTTCATTATTTGGGAAAAGGGTATGTGAAGAAATAATGTTTTTATATATTTTAAATCTGCACAAAAACCCCTGTGCTTACATTAAAACAAAACAGAACCACCCCAATTTTGGGGGGTTTTTTTGTTTTTATTTTTAATTCAGCAGCTCGTCAAATACATGGGCTATTATAAAACACTGAATTCACACTCAACCTCCCGAAATCTTAAGTAAATTTTGCAGATGTGAAAGCACAGTATCATTCTAATTATCTTCTTCATAAACAAGAAATTATTCCTCGGCTCCTACAATGGGCCCAGTAGTTTGCTGGTGATGAGGTATTTTCTCCAAATACTTGATCTTGATTATAGTACTTGAAAACGACATTGAATCTACCACCTCTATGCCAAGCCAATTCATTAGCACACTATCAGTTTGATTTATACTTTTAAAGCAACAGAAAAACCCTGATACTGAACTTTAGCACAATTCTCAGATCTGTATTATACATGGTCATAAGTATAACTGTATTGCTTCCAATGTACCAGAGAGATTGTTGTATAAATTGGAAAGCTCATTATGCATACATTAATTACAGATGTTGTCAGTTACCATGCAGCAGTACTTCAAGCAAAAAGGCAGGACAATTGTAAAGATTTTACACTTAACCTTCTACTCATCAAGCATCTGTTAGTCTATTTCAAATTCATCACAATACCATCAAAAGACCATACTCAAGTAAATACCCCACAGCACTTTTACACTCACTATGCCAAATGCAGAGATTATGTTCTTCATTCCATACTTTAAGAGTCCACGTAGAAGCTGTCCTTCCACGCACCTTTTTACGGGTAGTTTCTTGAGGGCTGCTGCTGGATCTTTAGTCTTTGCCCATTCTTCTCTGCATTTTACTAAGTATCCCTTTTCAGCTAGAATGAGGATGTAAAATAGAAATATTTTAACCACACACCAAAAAAGCATCCATCTCACCTTTTCTTAAAATAGTTGAAAAATTAAAGTTTCAATCACAGTAATTACACAGATTAACAGAATCACAGAATAGTTGAGGTTGGAAGGCTTCATGTGGAGTCTGAGCAGACTCTGCGTGTAAGCATTCAGGTCCCTTTTCACCCCCACTGCAAGAAACTGCGCAGCAAGGAAAGAGAAGCAGAGCAGACTCTGAAGATTGCTTCTCCGTTGATAAACTGGCTGAAGTTTAGCATATGCAAAGCTGTCCTCACAAATGTCCTTTAAAATTAAACAAATCAAAATCTAAAATTTTTTTTCCTGAACATACAATCCTTGGAAGAGGAGAGTCAGAAACACTTAAGTATCACTTTTCAATCCTTACCTCCTGGTCGTGGTTTTAGTATCAAATCCATTACTTCGTTCCAATTGTTCTGTAGAATAGCTCTAAGATTCAAACAGTAAAGTTTATTAAGAACCAACTAAATATACTTTAAGGAGATTTAGCCAACTTCTCCAAAAGAAGTATTAGTGTTTAAATTTATGCAATATTAAACATAGTGGTATTATGCAAGATACCTGCTGAACCAAGTTCAAAAACAAGTTCTTTCTTGAATCTAAAATTAAAACTGGTGTATGCAATATGGCAGAAAAACAGTCCAAAAAAATACATCAGAAGTTACACAGGTATTTAAAAAAAAAAAAAAAAAAAAAGGATGAAGGGATGAAAACAACACATACCTGCCAATTTGATATGTAGGAACAGCTGTGGTTCCAAATCTTTGCATTCCATAGTAATTAATGAATCCAATTTCCCTGAGAGAGTGCATTGCTTGCTCTATCTGGTAATCAGTTCCTGTTATGTTTCTAGCGTTAAAAAAAAAAAGTTACAGACAGGTTATTAAGGACTTACACTGTTTTGTGATCCCCATAATATTAAAGCTCAACATCAACATTACATAGCATTTATCAAATTCAGACTCTTGCCAACAGAAGAACTTTTATTCTTTTTTATAAGCACAAGATGCACTGATATCCCTTAATTATGTAAAGAAAAAAAAATTTTAACAGATTTGTCTAAATACATACTAACATATCACCTGAGAACAACAGTGAAATGGTTCCCTTGAAGTTCTCCTAATTTCAGTGGATGGTTCTTGTAACTGAAATTTCCTAGTTTGAAGTTCATCAAACATTTATTCAAATGAGCAAGTCTTTGTGCAGTGATTCTAAAAAGAAACAGACAAGTGACCAACCGATGCTTAGAAAAAACACAGTTAAATAAATATGGAAATGCTAGCATTTCAAAACAATAAGCAGTGAGTCCACTTTCCCCAATTTTCTACTGTTGCCTTTTCAAAGTATTTTAATGAAATACCAAAAAGAAAATAAAAGATAATTCTTAAGGCTACTTACACAAGAGAAAATGCATACTGTGACAAAGACTGCTAGTACTGTCTTTTCACATCTATGTTACAGTATGCACTCAACAAGAAGTATGTTGAGTTATTGATGTATACTGTACCCTACAAGCTGAATTCTGCTTTAGTTGAGTAACTACAACATGAATACACTCCAGTTAGCACAGTCATAAACACAGACTTAAGTAATTAGTCACTGTGTAAGCTTAGTGCAGGTGAAGGAGTATGAAATCCAATCTGTCACTGATACCTGTCATTTTTGTCACCAGTACTTTTGGAAGCATACCCTGTTCTTTGCATCACTGAGCCACTTTGACACTTCAGCTAAAATCTGTAGTGGGATAGACAAGTTTATCAACTAGCACGGCCAGTGTATTCAGCTCAGAGCGGCTGATAAATCGTAACACCCCCTCTCCTACGCCATCCTTCTCCAAGGCTGCACAGGAAAGTTGGGTGCTGTGGCATTACGGAAGAGACACCACGAATCCATACATTCCCCCTTAGTCGGTGCTTACAACACACTGAAGCTCTTGGACACAACATTAAACGGGATCATGTTAAAAGTATATGGAACAGCACCTGAGAAGGCTACACCACAAGTCTGGTTAATTATCACTTTGCAAACTTGCCTTGCAGCAACAAGAATCTGGGGCTTCTCACAATTCACAAATTAGTAATTCCCATTGTATGTGCACTGGGAGGAAAAATATGAACAATTAAGTAGTGAATGCCCTCCTTTTAACAAGGATTTGAACAAGTTTCTGGCTCTCAAACACTGGAATTCCTCACTTCAGTGTGGTTTTCCGAGAGTTATAAATAGTAGTCCAGGCAGAATATTCCAGCTAGCTAAACAGATACTGTAACATATGACTGCAAGGCATCCATCATTCTCAGTTATGGATGTAATATTATTTTCAAGTGCCCAGAAGCCATGTAATTATCTTGCAATATGACAAAATAAATTTTATTTTCTTTTAGTAGGCAACTTAATGGGAGGAGGCTAAGGCATGAAAAATTCCTCATTGTTTTTTGCCCCTTCTGGCTACTCACAGATGAGCAAAGGCAGTGGTTAGCCTTCTCTGGAGCCGTTCAGAGAGTTCAGTGAGAAAGAAAATAGGATTCCAGATGGAGGAAGTGGGAAACAAAAGTCAGGAAGGAAATGGGACATAATTTTCACCATCTCATTCTGTTTTTCTGCTGTTGCATGGGAGGCATGCAGCGTTAGGAGCACACAGGCAATGTGACCCAATACTTCAGCCAAACACATGTATCCAGCCAACGACTCAGAGCACCCCTGACTGAAAATACTAGCAATCACCATGGAGGAAAAAAGGACTATAGCATCTTCATTATTACATGTGCTTTACAAGATCAGGACCTGAATCCACCATTTGTGTCACATGCGTACTGAGTCTTCAAGGTATTTAGCAAGATATTCAAGCTATCACGGTAGGAGTGCAAATACTTCAGTATGCTTTCACTTACCTAAGAACAGCGATCTCTTGAACTGTTATAGCCCTTTTATCTTTAGTTCCCATGTAGGAAAATATGTTTGGCTTCACTCTTAAAAGCAACAGTAACAGATATGTATGTTAAAATATCCACAGGTTGAACATAATTTTCAGCATAATCACATAGCATGATTAATCTTCTATATTAAAAATAAAAAATATACATATATTCCCCAGAACTACACTACAATATGACATATGTGACGTTTTATAATCTCATCTGTAATTACATAAAACAGAGGGAAACTTCTCTGTTTTAATTATACGTATACAGATTCACTTTTACCACAATGGTACTTTCAAAATACGAGCTTTGAAGTACTTCTTTATATACACCTACTCAATGTACAAATGCGCAGCCGCAACTAATTTCACTAAAAAAATTCATGTCCATTTCTTCCGTAAGCTTCAAATAACATGTCTGTTTGAATACTATGCATGCACACTATGTGAGAATATGAGAAGTTTAATTCAAAATTTGATCAGTTTATTTCCTTGAGAAGAAAATTTCCTCTCCTTTCCACTTTGTACTTTATAGCCTGTGTTACACAGGGAATATTTCCAGTTATTCCAGCTATGGGCACCAGGGGGTAGCAGGATTGCCATTACATACATTTTTCCACCAAACTACGCTCCTACCTTTCTGTTCTCAAATACAAATACTAGTAGTATACTGGTTAGAGTCTAGATTACAAACATATGTTTTTGGACAGGAAGGGTGAAAGGAAAAGGAGGGGAGAAGTGTGGAAGTTTCCCTACGAGTTGATCACTGAATTGACCCAATTTTAAAATAGTCCTTCCTCTGCAGTTCAGTGTGTTCACTTCACGCCTTTGGCAAACCTTTTTGTTGCTGCACTTGATGGGGTGAAAGGCACTAAGACTGTGTTGCTATGGAGAAATTAATACACGGAACAACAGTTTACCAGCTGTAACTGCTTAGGAACTGATCAGCATATTATCACAACAATATCTGACAGGTTCATAACCTACTTGCATATATTCACACACTGGGAAAAAATTGGCTTTTAATTCAGCTTATGCACATTGAGGCTTTGAGCTGCCAAGCCTTTCTCAGATCAGCCAACTTCCACTGAAGTAGTAAGAGTACAGTCTTTTAAATTCCTTGGAATAATTTTGTTCCATTCTCACCTCCTTCTTTCCAAAACTTACAAGTTTCAAAGTTGATATTATAAAATAACTTTTTTTTTTAAACATGGCTACAAATTAGGCAATAGTAATCACTTGTGTTGCTCTTAGATAATTATGAAGCATATCATTTACCGTAACTTGAAACATACAGGGGGGAACTGAATGCTAGCCAGGCTGGCAGAAACAACATCCTTACCTTAAAAATTTGGATAGGACATTAATGGCATCCATAGTATCTTTGTTCTCCTTGTACAGTACGAAGTGGCAGTAGCTTCCCCTAGATTTTGGCCAAGAGTGTTTTCTTGGATCTTAAGAAACAAAAGGTTAAAATGTGTAAAGTGTCATCTTTAAAAATGTATTTAATATCTCTGCCATTGCAGCCACATTTAAAACAAATATGCAAGAGTCAATTTCTGCTAATTTCCATCTGCTTTTTTTAAAAAATAAGGAAGTGAATTACTGACAGCAAAAGCTGCAAAGCACATTAAAAAAGACCTTCTCCCCTTCCACTGAGCTGTAAACTTCTCTTTAATCAATTCTGTCACCTAGAAAATCTCAAATGAGATGGCGACGATTTCTTTCTCACTGATTTACATAAAAATATATCCTAGTCACTTAAGTTCCATATTGCCCGATTATATTTATCAAAAACATTATCATTACACTGACTTTCAGAAATAAAAGCCACTCCACATTTCACCTAGTGCCTTCTATAATTAATGGATGTGGACCATTGGAGCCCTGTTTGAGGGAAGATTACAATTATCATTTATAGTCCTAACACATTCCTTATTTCTGTAGGATTTTTTCTGCGTGTCATCCAAAAGCATGGGTTGTATCTCTACAAAAGTCTAAAAAAGTATACTCACAAAAAGTTACTTTAAGGCGATTTTTTTTTTTAAAGTCCTATGGGAGAGAGAAATCTGGTACAATAGACACATTAACAAATAATTCAAGCCAGGGTGAGATAACTTCAGTTCCTTCAGATTAACAACTGATTCACAATTCTGTACTATTATTTGGTGTTTTCTGAAGAGGAAAGAAAACTCAATGTATTTTTCAAGATTTTCTTGCACATAAAAACCTTCAGAGATAAAACTTTCCTTTAACAATCATCTACTGTTGATGATAATACCGGAGGGGGGACTGATTCTACACAGGTTTAGCAACCAATTTTGAGGTGCTCTGTTTATCAATTCTTTGTTTTATAAGAACAAAACTAAGGATTCGTTTTGTTTTAAATAAGAAGTCCTTTATCTCTTGGCAGCCACCAAGCAGACATTCCTGGTTTTGTACAAAAAGGGCTTAAGCATCTTTCATAACAGCAAAAGCTAACCTAAAAAGCCAGTCCTATATAAACCCCCATGCAGGAAGTTCATTCTTGGGAAATTTTGCTCTTTTTGTTCACATTAGTTTAATTGAGCCCAGATATCCCACACAGACAGCAAATATGTTTAATTTTCAGGAAATTTTCTGGTAAAAGATAATTCCTCTTGCTTTTTTTTGAGAAGCTGCCATCCATACACACACTTCTGTAAAAACAATTTTGGATGCTACAGTTTAAAACACCATAGTTTTCAATCACTTAAAAATTACTGCAACGCTTGCCTTGTACCATTGTTTCTAAGCAAAGCTCCCCCCCTACGGAGTTTCCTAGGGCCTAAACTGAGCAGTATGGTCCAAAGCCTAAGAGGCCTCGCGCTCCTGCAGGTCTCCTTTCTGAGCCACCACTGCTCTTAAACGCAGGCAACGAAACACTGCATTCATCTTGAAGAGCAAGGTCCTTCACGGAGAACTCAGTAATTAGAAAGGAAGAGAGTAAGACAGAGTGTGATTCACAAGGAAAGTCTTCTCCAGCTGGAATTATTCTTTAAATTTAACTAATTCATCTTGCACGCGGTCATTTCGACATTCAAAAAGTGAGCCCTAATCTGGGCTAGGCTGAAAGGACTCTAGAGATACTATATATACCAATGGGCTCCTCAAGCTTTGGGAATCACAGCCATGTGCCTATTCACTGAACTGCTGGGAGGCTGCAGCTGCAGTCCCGATATTTAACCATTTCTCACCCAGTAGCTCAAAGTACAGAACTAGGCAGATGGACCAGAGGGACAGTTTGCAGTCCTTAATGTTGTATTTCTGAGTCATGTTACATTTTTGACAGAAAAATTGTATTTCAAAGCCCTTATTCCAAACCTTTCACTGCAACTCGAGGGCTGGAAGCTCTTTTTTAAAAGTATGTACCATATATCCTGACATTAAAGTTGTATAAATAGAGATAGCGGTGTCTGAAATACAAGACTGAAGGGCAAAGGCTTGACTTAAAGAAATCAGTGGAAAATTTACCATAGATGTCAAACAGTATTGTCAAAACTGATAATTCACATCATTTATTACTGGCAGAATTCCTCTGCACTGCATGACTACTGCCTACACTGCTCTAGGAAAAACAGGCAGCACAAGCCCAATTCTTGTCTTTTTCAGGAAATTTTAAGCATTACTTATGTGTAGGGTTTTGTTAAAGAATTAATTGTTACTAGTTTGGCCAGTCTTGTGGCTATTTAGGAGGTCATAATGGTTGGCATTTCATTTTGTTAGCATGAAATGTCAACATCTCTTACCTGTTGCAGTTCTGACCTCTGTCCCAATGCATAGCATAAAGAGCACAAAAGAGTAGCATTTAATTTTTAGACTGTCAAAGGGGTTTTAGAGGTGAACATGCAGGTTTATGGTTATGGGATTGTTTATGCTTTAGGGAGCATCCAACAGTTAGGTGGTGGATGACAGCAATTTAGACGGTTATGCAATGGAATCGTGCAGAGGCAAACAGTGAACATATGGAAAGCTTCAATCGGAGATGCAACAAACTTCATTTGTGGACAATGATGAAATAGCAGTTTACTGACAATTTAGTAAGGTAGTATTTTAAGTATTTTGGGTGACTGGAGACACAAGGCAGCTTTTAATTTTAAATTTTAGGAAAGTATGTTTGGTAACCTTTTAAATTATCAACAAAAGTAATCAGATATCTCAGGTAATGTTCAAATACTCTACACTTCTGAAATGTTTCTTGCCTGGGGAACCTACTCAGGACTAAGACATGTTAGTGGCTATATAAACACAAGAGAGAAATATAATCCTGACTAAAAAGAACTTGCACTCTTAAATCCTACATTCATAAACATTTACACACACACACTGCAACTGAAGACATCTCCACTAACACGCACACGTGTTTGTAGCATCACAGCTTAGGAATCTAAGTTTAAATAGATGATGCTTCTCTGCATCACAAGATGGTGCTCCAGATATTGTTTTAATCCTAGAGACACATCACTAAATTCTTTTCAGTGTATTTCAAATACTTAAATCCTTTTATACACTGTCTCTTAATAACAGCTTAATAACAGTCACTTAATAACGACCACTTGGCTGTAACAATGGTTAAAGAGTAGAAGCAGCAGAAGGAAAAGGTGGAGGTAAAACCATCACAAACCAACAAAGAACAAACTGGCTGAGGAGAATTTTGTGCTGGTAAGTATACACACTCCATGCATAAAGCATGCAAACATACAAATTTTCTGAACATGGTTAAACAAGATACCTAAGCACATTAAAATTGTACCCATAAAAGTACAACATTCCCATATTTGTGTAGAACAACACTTAAAAAATAGTAACTAAATTGAATGTGGAGATGGTGCTATTTCCAATTTCAAATTATCTCCTTTATCCCTTCTCCATCTCCTTCATCTTTAAAATGAAAGGGCTAGGTTTACATCCTGTTATTTTTAGTAGGTTGAAATGACATAGGAATGCAATCAGTTTAAACCAAACCAAACCTTAATACCTTTAGTTAAATGTGCAACATTCTGCCTGTAGACAATCCTCTCAACTTACAGTTCCAACAAATTTCTAAGATCATTAAAAGATGTGGAATACATTAATTTATCCCCAGTAATGAAAACAGTATTTGACAAGGTTAAGGTGGATAACACTCTATTTTGAAAATCCTTCATTACTAGTAACTGTGATATATAATGAATAAAGACAATTTTCTACAAATATAATTATCCTTGGGAACAGGAGTAGCCTTAAAGATCTTGGTAAAAAATATTACGTATATATAAAACTATAACTCTGAGAAAACAAATAGGTGCTTCTCTTTATTCAAGCAACTGAGAATTTTGCAATGGATTTTCAAGACAGTCAAAATCACACTGACTGTCAGTGCAATGTATGCATTTCAACTACAACCTCTTACTTCTACAATGCACATTTACACATCCAGGTAAGTTCATACAAGCTAAGTTCAAACAACACTGAAAGTAAAGCCCCTATTTTGCCTATTCCCACTGAAACAGCAAAAGATCCTCTCACTCCTAACACAGTTGTATTTGATGAATAATTTGGAAAGAAAAAGAAGTAGAAATTTATATTTGAGACACTCCTGGTGTTCCTACTCATTTTAGATGCACAGCACTAGCTGCAAAGAGGAAAAAGAACAGCCAGACTACATTAGGAAGTACACTCCACTTGAAGTACTTACTAACAACTTTTATTTTGGGGATAATTTTAGCATTTACTTCACCCAACTCCTGTGATGCTGAAACTCACTTGCCAGGGCTTTCTTCCCAGCAGCATGGTAAGCAATAATGTATTTTTTTCCATCTCGATCTTCTGTTTTAGTCTCCAGTCCAGGAAACAAAGACTTCACAGCCTGGTGGATAACTGTTCTTTTTTCTTTTGTGTCTTCAATTACCTGTGTTAATACATATGCATGCAGAAACCAAATAAAGTAATACAAAAGGGGAGGCGTCTTCTCAGAGTTAAATTTTGCATGCTTAAAGAAAAGCTACCAAATCACACTGATGTACTGAATAGGTACACTTTTAAAACTCTGGCCTACTTATTCAAATTAGTCTGAAAAATAATAAATAACTCTGCTACAAACACCAGTCTCAACATTCAGAAAAAATTCTCAGGATTTATTCCCCTCTCCTGTGCTTAATAAAAATTCCCTCTTCTAATGAAAACTGGCAAAATAATTTTTTTCTATATTCATTAAAGGAAAAAAAAAAGGCTAGATAAGATTATATAATGTGTGAATGCTTATTTGAAATAAACAGATTTAATCCTACTCATCTCTATGTCACAAATTTAGCTCAACAGCTATTCTTTAAGCATATGAAATATTTAGATGTTTAAAAATAACAAGTTTAAATTTAATTTTGTACCTTCTTATTTTTCTTGTTACAGAAGAGCACATTTATCTTCTTTTATATTAAATCACTAAACACTGACCTTGAAAATAGTCTTTCATCATGACGTTTTATTTAATCCTTCTTACATAATTTTTCTATAAAATACTACAAGACAGAAAACCAAAATACTGCAAAAAAATTTTAACACCACAGAAATTAAAATGTGCATTTGAGTTCATGTGTACAGTCCCACCAAAAATAAAAATGACAACTCATGTGCGTGAATTTAAGTATATCTGTAAGGCTTTACAGCACTAAATCCTTAACTGGAAACATCTGACTATTACCTGTTGCATCATGGTCAAACTGCTCTTATAACTTACATGCACTGGAAAGCAGGTACCTTCCACTGACTCACTCTCATTCTCCCCTCCCTCCCCATCCCGAAACTTCATATAATTTATTAATTTTACCTCTATGGCAACACTAGTTTCCTTATTCTTAAGAAGCTGGAGCTCCTCTAAACGCTGCTTATCTTCATCTGACAAAACTGTAAATGTTTCTTCTGATGGGTCCTAATATGTATTGGGGGGGGGGGGAAACAAACATCCAGTAAACCTCACAGAACAACTTTCAGCCTTTTAATGTTTTTGCTTAAGAAACACAGCCGTTACCAAATCTTTACCTCAAAATTTACCTCATCATCCACTGGAACGGAAAAGTCATCTAAATGGCTCACACGTCCATCTTTGCCTATTTCATGGACAACAAAGTCCGAGTATCTGATAGGAAGAAACACGTGTTAAATTTGTAAAAAAAAAAAAAAAATCCACATCCTGTAAAGTCCTTACCCAAGAAGCTGTTTGTTAGCAGAATTCACTCAAGAATTTTGAATTCACATAAAAGAAACTTCAACTGTGAGAAAGTTGTATCTATTCCCACCCCTCAGAAGGATATCACGAGAATACAGAAGAAAGTCTGGCATGTCTAAATACAGCAGACTTCTTTGCAGGTAACCAAACACCTGCTGTAGTTATTCTGAGTCATTTTCTCACTAGCTTCCAGAGGTCACTAATGCATATCCTCAATCATGGTCATTACTGGCAATTAAGACTCTTCTGCATTGCTACAATGTGAATACAAACACATTAATTCTGTCACTTCAAGTAACCTGCAGAATAAAGTGCGTATTAGCTACTCTAAGCAAAGCAGGACAAATTCAGCTCTGTTACATATATTCAAATCTAGAGAACATCTTTCAAATAAACAGTTACTGTGCATACTTTATGAAGTTACTGTGCATACTTTATGACAGCAACAAAGAATTTCACTGTGACATTGTCAATCAAGTTATTATGTCCAACAATAAAAACATCTTGGCTTTAATAGAGCACAGACAGTCTATGTTGCAATTGCTAAATGATTTTTAAGTAGCATCTGCTTGTAAAGGAAAAAAAAAATAAAATTATTAGTCTATGAATGTTGAAGGATTAATAAAACTTCACTGTGGGAATGCTTGTACTATACCCTCCCAAGCCCCCATTTGCCATACTTCTGTGTAGGCATACACCATATTGGTAGAATTCCTTTCTGAGGAGTGTTATGTGCCCTCTCTCTTACTATCTGTAGCTGCCTACACATGCCAGTCACCGCTACCATAAAAACGCTAGGACTAAATTAATGATAGGTGTTATAAACTAGGATCAAAGAAAAACCATTCCACCTGGCTACCTTTGGCGACCTTGGTTCAAAAACTGGCAGATTTCCCAGAAGGAGGTTCAGCACAGACTGTGTTCCCAATGAGGGATTATGCTGGCTGCTTAATGTTGCATATAGAGTAAATACATACATAATATGTACATATAACTTTATTATGTAAAATGATCTACATATGAAGCCAGTATTTAAAAGCAGGGACTTCTTGGTGTGTAAACAAAGCACCCTTAACTGCTTCGCAAAATCAGAGCAACAATGGTTCTCACTTCAGTGAATGTATTTGCATTCTATCTTAGTCAAATATTTAATTTAAAAACCCTGCAACTTTCATTAAAAAGCTATTAAAACCCAAACATCTTATTAAGTATACAATATAAAATTCTACGCCCTGAGTTATAAAATTCCCTTTTATGTTTTATAAATTACATTAAAACTGATCAGACTATAATTTAAAGCCTAATGGTCCATTTGACAATATATATTTTAAAGACATCAGCACAAAAAAGTCCCAGAAAAGCAAAGAAGAACCAAAGAGGGATGGTTTCAAAAGCATTCTCCAGTGCATCTTGTAATAGCACTGAAGAGTGGTAGAAAAGGTGGGTGTACTGCATGAGGTTTTATGCTGTATGCTGCAGAGAGCTAGGCAAACAGCAAAGGCCAGTGTAATCATGTATTTCTGTCCATAAACAGCTTCTTTATTCAGAGCTCCATTTGACAGTAAAGAAGAAAAAACAAACAAACAAACCAAACAAAATCTACAAAAGACCCAAATTAAACCTTTCTTTCAGTCTCAGCACTAGGAAAAGAAGGTGAAGAACCTCCCAAGTGGCTGCACATAACCCAGTAGCATCCTGCGAGTCAGAAAAGGAAAATGGAGAACAACAGCTGCTTATCACGAGGAATTAACATACATACAAGACAAAGAGTTACCTCTCTTTTAAGATTCCAGAAAACCCTTTATGAGAGCTAACAAATTTAGTTATGCCAACATCACTTTCTGTCAGTCCATGCTTCATCATGTCTGCAAAGCTCTCTGGATCTCCATCTTCATCACTGTCCTCTAGTTCCTCATCTTCCTGCTCCTCACTTTCCTCATTGGGGATTATTTCATTTTTCATGTCCTCAAGCAGAGATTTGTCAGGTTGTTCTGTTACAGTCTCAGTGCTCTGCCCAGAGTCGTTCCCTGTCTTAGACTCCTCTGAGGTCTTCTGTCTTTTAATTTCGTCTGCATTAGCCACATCATCCTCAGAGTGAGGACGTTTCAAGGATACACTATTCATTTCTACAGTTTCCATGTTTAAGGCACAGTGTAGGATAGAAAGCCCTGAGAAGCAAGAAGAATGGCTTATTTCCTGTCTGTTTAAGAGCAATATCAATACATAGTCTCTTCACTCCAAGGACTCTGCACCCTGCAACAGTTCAGGAAAACCACATAACTTTCTGCATTTTTAAGTTATACATCAAGTAAAGATTTTGTACAGCTAGAAACAGTATGTACTTGGGAAGAGAGAAGGCAGATGTTAAGAGGACTTAATACCCACCCAAGAGAGCATGCATGTTAGGCTACAGAAGAACAGGATTCAATACTACACTGACCATTTACCACCATCATCACTCTTGCCAACTCTTACCATAGCTGGATCCATCCCCATGCATACAGGCTCTGCTGTGAATAGCAATTTAGTGCCTAAGAAACTTTTTTCTTCCCAAGACTTCTGTTAAACATGACTACTCTCAATTACTCCTTGTTCTACCAAGATTCCATCTTGCAAGGATTGAGAGGATGGTTCAGTTCCCCCAAACATGAAATCCCATCTCTTCTACCACACACAATCCCACACAGACATCAAGGTGGCAGCAATTCAGACCAAAAGATAAGAGGGATGAGATAACAAAATTGTTGAATGAGTAGGACAAACAAAACAACAAGGAAGTGACATGGTCTCCGAGAAGAACATGACTACTCACACTGGTGGAGCAGAGCTCTGACTCTTCCTTGACAACCTGAGCTGCCACCTTTGTGTCAGCAGAGCTAGTACCTTCAGATCTGAAAAACAGAGGAAAATTAACTCTTTGAGAAAGTTTTAGGCAAAAAAACCCAGCTACGAAAAAACATATGAATGTGATCATTACAGAAGCAGGCTGCTTCTGAACCCAAGTATCAGTAGTTAGATAGAAGCAGACACTACTCAGACAGACAAGTGAAAAGCAAATACAATTGTAGAAGTGTTACCAACCAATGACATAACACAATATTGCTATTTAGCGAGCTACAGCAGAGAAGTTCAGTTTTATTTCTACATATATAAAAGGAGACCAGAGTTCCTATAATTATGCAACAACAGGACCTTTCTCCCAGCATCACCCCACCAGCACATCGGTGTGTTGGGGATGAACTGCAGGTTTTGGTAGCAAGGGGCTGCATGAGAAAAGGCCATCAACTTCCCTGTGCTAGCCATGGCCACTTCCAGATGGCTCCATAAGGAACAAAACCCACCGCCTGCCAAAAGTCCAACTCATCAGATGAGCACACAGTGCCTCTAATCTGGGTTATTTAAGAAATGGAGGAACTGCCAGTGGCAGCACAATGGGAAACACAGGAGGAGGCATGTGACAGCACGCTAAAGAAGACATGAAGGGAGGCACGGGGAAGGGGACATTGTTGGGGACGTGGCTGGAGATACACTCTTGGAAGGAGGATCTCCACACCAGAGCAGGGTCACCCCCAAGAGGACTGCAGCCCGTGAAGGAACCCACACTGGGGCAGAGACACCCATAAGGGGACTGGGGACTGTGCAGGCACCCACATAGGAGCAGAAATGAGAAGGAAGGAGTAGCAGAAAGAAACCTCCATGCACCAACCTCAAGCTCCTGCACCATCGCTGCCTCACCCAAGGGACAGAGCATAACCTGTGGGGACAACCACGGGAGGGCAGGCAAGGAAAGCAGGGGAGGGGAGATGTCTGGAGTGAAGGGAAGGGAAAGGAGTTTTCCCCAACTGTTTGTTTAATTGCTTGTCTTCTTTGTATCTCACTAGCCAACTCTGGCTATGTTAACTGGCAATAAATTAAATTAAATTCCCCAAGTCAAGACAGTTTTGCCCACAACAACAGGCAAGTTCATAAGTTAATAGGATTCAGTTGTTACTAAGAAATTAATCTAGGCCCACAACAGCATTTTAGAGCTCCATACATCATCCTGTATTATTTCTCCAGTCACTAGATAGCATATTCTATGTAATTTTAAAGGGTATGTTTTTAAAGTAAGACTCATTACTAACTCGATAATCACTATGTGCTGGGTTGTTACCAGTTAGCTGTTAGCCACTGTTGATTTAATTGCTTTGACTTTCCTTTGTAGAGCTCACAAACTTAGGGTAAAGAGGTAGGAACAACTGTTTTAAACCACCTGAAATATGCTCAAATGAAGAACTGAAAATGGATGCTAGAAAAAATAATGGACAAAAGGGAAATAAGGAGAAACTTATAAAAAAAGTGTAAAGATTGCCTGAAGAGTAACAAAACACAAGCAGAAGAAAGCAGAACAATTAGCCAATCAGCACCTTCAAGCTGAAAGCACCACTTTCAGTTTGTCCCCAAATAAAAACTAAAGTACATAAAATCCTTCTTTTAAAAGAAAAAAAAAAAAAAACATAGCCAAGAGAAGCAATTCACCATCATTTCCAGATTCTTCTTCTATGTACCCAAATTTACGGAGCCTGGGTTATAAAGCATTGACATGGAAAAGGCTTCTAGACAGCTTGTGAATGTCTCCACATGGCGAACAAAACACCACTCGGCACAGTGAAATCCTCTGAGACACCTGTCAAAGGAGGTAACAGGACAAATCTTGTGTTTCTAAAATAAAATTGTAATACCTAGTTATTGAATGATACAAACTGTTAGAATAATTCAGCGCTGGCCACAGATACTCTAAAGTTGTCAGATAGGGCCTATTCTCAGAGCAGACGAATGACTCATATACAACGAAGTACTATCCTGTGCCAAATGGTGGCTGTCATCTGGGAAAATTTCTGCAGGATAACTACTTGAAGGAGCAAGTTGAAGTGAGTGGGGCACACACTGTCTCACTTGTGACTACTGAGAGGCGTCTATTATTTTTCTGACGGCTGCTCAACCCTCTCAGTCCTTTTCCTAGCAAACAGGTGTTTCCACAAAAGCCAGAATCAGCATAAACAGCGACTCTGCTGCAATTTCAACAGACAGAGTGTTTTAGCAGAGATTGAATTTACTACTACAAATAAAGGGCTTGATTCTCCCCAGCAAGAAATGCTGAGCGATTACTTCTGCTGTGGTACCTGTCAGGCAGACCCACGGGCTGGCAGGGGCTATGAGGTACTGCCCTCTTAAAGAATAAATAAAAGAGTAAGCACACGCCAGCTCTGGGAATGAAGCTGGTTTCTGGTGAGACGAAGCAGATCGGATTAAAAGGCGACCGACGAGAGGGCACGGTGATAGCGCAGCGCCCACACGCAACCGCCTCAGGCGGGCGAGGCGGCAGCGGGGCCCCGACCCCGGCTCCGCACCTACGCGGCGACGTCGCGCAGGGCCGGGGGCCGGGCCGGGCCGGGCCGGGCCGGCGCGGCGGGCAGCGCTCCGGGCGGGCCGGGCCTGAGGAGCGGCGGCCGATGCCGCGGCCCGGCTGTGCCGCTGCCAGCCCCGAGGCTGCGGGGGCTGGGCGAGAGCAAGCGAAGGGGCTGGAGCAAGCGGGAGGGAGGGAGGACGGGGCAGGAGGAAAGGGCTGCCGCCGGAGTCCCGACACCACGCGGCTGCCGCCCGCCCATCGAGGCAGCACCGGGGAAAGCCCAGAGCAAGCGGGGGGAAAGTTGCACCGAGGCTGAGCCGCCACCACCCCGTCTGGGCCGGCCGCGGGAGCTGCGAACCCGCCCCGCCGCGGAGGCCGCGGCTCCCGCCCGCCCGCCCGCCGAGGAGCCGCGGGCGGCCGCGGCCGCCGGGGGAGGGCGCGCCTCCGCCCGCCGCCGGGCAGGATCCCGGGGGAGGCGGGGATCGCCACTTACCGCACGCCGGCACAGGAGGACGGGCCAGGCGCCAGCACCGCGGGGAAGGGGAAGGGGAAGGAGGAGGAGGCGGCGGCGGCGGCAGCGGGACCGAGCAGCGCGGGCCCGCCCCGGCTCCGCGTGTGCGAAGGCGGCCTCCTGCCTGCGCCCGCCCCGGCTCCGCGTGTGCGGAGGCGGCCTCCTGCCTGCGCCCGCCCCCGTCGCCGCAGCCGCCCGGCCCGGCCCGGCCCAGCCGGCGGGGAGCGCTCCCGCCCGCGGCCGCCATTTGCCGGCGGCAGCGCCCCGGCAGAGTCGCCGCTGGGCGGTACGGGGGGCTCGGCCGCTCCTCCTCGGGGTGGGGGGGAGAGCGGCGAATAATGCCCGGCGCTGGCCGGCGGTCTGGGAGCTAACGCGGAAGGTGGCAGCAGCAGGGCGCCTTGCGACACCATGTTCGGGTTGAATTCAAAGAGTTTCCAGGCCGGGCCAGCCCCGGGGTGGGGGGGCGCGGCGGCCCCGGCTGCTGCCGGCGGGGGGGTGGTGGTGCCCATCGAGGGGCTGCGCTTGCACACGCTGCTGTCGCCTCTGGCCTGCTGGAGATTCCTTCGGCAGTTAAAACCAGATGGAAGCATCTAGGGGAAGCAGACAAGAATTTAGAAAAGAACAGCAACTCTGCAGAAAAAAAGTTTAATCTCCAAAATACAGCCACAGCCAAAGCAGGGAGTCGCGTCCATGAGACAGTGGCCTTCCTCAGCTCCCCTGATATTTGAAACAGATGGTGCTAACTGAACGTCAGTCCCAGGACAGTGGCACACTTGAGTACTGTTTCAAAACCATATCTATGCAAATCATGCTCCCATTTAAAACTAAATGAACCCAGGGTGGGTCTGTACTATGAGTGTCCTGGCATTGTCAGAATGTAATCTTATACCCTCCTTTCCATTTCAAGCAGTGGTGCAAAAAGCATCTTTTCATTAACTTCTAACACATATGATTTGTCTTTACTTTTAAGACCCTTTGTGTCATGTCTTAATCATACTCAACCTCAGACTTCCTCTTTGCTGGGCTGTTAACACCATTTTTTAGCTTCTCATACTTTTCATTCTCTAGTTGTAGTCTATTAATCATACTCATACTTGATGAGACTTAAAACTGCTATGCATATATGGGTGACATTTCCTCATCCCTTCTACTTACTTTCATATTCTACTCCAAGAGAGGAGGTAACACAATGGAGTGCTTTAGTTTTGATTTTTAAAATCCCAGCTAAGCATGCACTCCTCTGTGGCTAGCATATAAAAGGCCACATCAAGGAAATTCATGTTCAAGGAAATTCCATGAAAGGAAGGAGCAAAGATATGTGACTATCCTTAGTTCTGAACAGAGACAGATCCATAGAGATTTACCAGCCTCTAGGAGATCAAAAATTTGTCTTCATCACATACCTTTAGTTTATCCCCTGTCCACCCTTCACACCTGGAATTTAAATAACCTGCTAGAAACCAGTAGGGGTATCAGGAGTGGGTTTAAGGTGCTCCTGTGAGCCAGTCAACAGTGGACTGGAAACAGCAGTAGACATTAGCGATCGACAGGGCAGAGTGTGGTACTTCTGGAGACCATAGCATCACTGAGGAATCCAGAGCTGGGACTACTGCTGTTCACCTCCCAGTCTGTCTCGGTGGTAGGGGCAATACAAAAAGAGCTATGCATTGTTTGAACATTGCTGTCATCTGACCAATTACTATAGGTGAGGTATGGAGATGTTGAAAGGTAGTTCCTTCACCTCTCCCAGGCAAAGGCATATTATCTGGCTGAGAGGATCCTTCAGTGAGACTTCTACCATGCAACAGTCCAACTTTTTTTTCTCATGTAACTTCTTGCTTCTTTCATTTGGCATAGGAGAAGTTCCCTAAAATACTTATTTTTCTTCCTCCAAATTCCTACATTAAGTACCTCCTGTCTACGAAATCCTTGTCAGTAATTAAGTAGCTTGTATGTTACAACCTGGGCTTAGTATGATAATAACCCTACTGTTAGTTCTCCCTGTTGACTATGTTCATCTATCATCCATTACCATTAGCTTGAATTTAATAGAATTTGGAGTGGTATGAAGTGCCTCATACAGTGAAGAACCAGCATTTTGAAGGACCTGCAGGTGCTACCACAAAGTAAATAGCTAATAATATCATTACTATGCATTTCTCAAGTTTTCTAATATATTCAGAAAGGTTTATTACCCTTTTCTCAATACCAGTAAGCAATCTCCAACATATGAAAGAACTATTTTCCTATGTCTGAGAATCTACAGATAAAATCCTTGAGACCATCCTTCTGATGGTACAGGGGCTGGAAAGAAGGAATTTAGTTCTGCTTCTGAGATAAAACCGAGACATTCAGGCAAGTAGAGATGATCAGTACTTAAAAGATGGCATGCTCAGTCACCTGTTACTGTCTACCCCTATCATCACTTCCAAGTGAGGGCTGGCAAAGGGCACACAGTCATCACCACTTTCTCTTTTCATTGGTCAAGTGATCCTTTTATGTAGAGAAGTATAGTGTAAAATATAATAAGAAAATAATTATACGACTGCAACTTCAGCTTGATTTTTTCCTCTGGTTGGTTTAACGATTAAAAATATTCTATTATAAATGGCCTAACATACTCATCAGGTAGTATCATTAAAATATCTTTTTAGTCTCAATTAAAATGTATCATGGTTTGAGCCCAGAAGGCAACTGAGCACCACACAGCTGTTCACTCACCCCTTCCCCCACAGCTCTGAGAAGGAAAAAATGAAGTAAAAGGCTTGGGAATTGAGATAAGGACAGGGAGGGATGGCTCATGCATTACAGTCATGGGCAAAAGAGAGACTCATTAGGGGAAGAAAAAAAGAACATTGCTTTAATTCAAACACTAATAAAACCAACACTAACAGACAAGGTGGGACAGTGAGAAGCGCCACCACATCCAAAGACCACCTCCCCCCACCCCTCCCTTCTTCCTGGGCTCAGCTCTGCTCCTGATCTCTCTGCCTCCTCCCCCAGCAGTTCAGGGGGCAGGGGATGGGGGTTACTGTCAGCTCAGCACTCCTTCCCTCTCAGGAGATGGGGTGAAAGCCGTACATTCCCCCTCCTGCTCCGTGTGGCTCCCCTCTCACTGCAGACAGTCCTCCATGAACCTTCCCCATCGTGAGTCCTTTCCATGGGATGCAGCTGTTCCCATGATAATTTGGCATGGGTCACCCCTGCGTGTTGCAGTCCTTCCAGCCCCAAACTATAACAGCGGGGGACACTTCTCGCCTCAAAGTCCTGGTTTAATTTAAACACAGACGCCTGTCCTGGAGGGGCCTTCTCCACAGGCATCAGGTTGGCCTCTGCTCCACCATGGATCTCCATGGGTGGCAAGGGGAGGCCCTGCTGTCTCACCACAGGATACAGGGGTTTCTGATCCCCCTTCCTCCTCCTTCCTTCCACTGACCTGGGTGTTCACATAGGTGTTCTTGTAACTCTTCCTCACAAGTCCCAAACCCCTCTCAGGTTCCCCTACTTAAATACGTTCTCACAGAGGCACAACCACCATCACTAATTGACTCAGCCTTGGCCAGAGGTGGGTCTGATTTGGAGCTGGGGCGGCTTTTGAGAAGCTTCTCACAGGGGCCACCACTGTGACCCCCTCCCCTGCTACCAAAAACCCCATCACTCAAATCCAGGACAAATGTGAGTATCAGTATGTTCCCACAGAAACTTTATTTAATGAAACATAAAGGAAGTTTGTTTTGTGGAAAAAACTTATGACCAATCATAGTTATGGCCTGTAATAAGTTTATAATGTCTTCCTACTCACAGGCTCCCCAGGAGGGTAAATCAGGATAGCATGTATTGGCAGATGGGAGCATAAATCTGGGTAGGAAGAGAACACAAGTGAGAAGCTTGTTGAGTCAGTCTCCTCCAAAGATGCTCCTCAAAAACCCAAAGGTACAAAGTTGAGCTGTTCCCACTCTGTGGAAAAAACTAATAAAATAGAGCAGCAATTACTGCACTCACTCTTCTTCAGTTTTATGCCTCCCAGGGGCACAGACAATCAGGCAGATAAGTTGTAATTTTACACCTCTTTGCACCAGCTGCACTTAACTGGTCTGATTTCTACCTGTCACTAATAGCACTACAGAGAATTCAAATGAAAAAACTATTAAAAGCCTAATGTATTTTTCATATGTAGGTTGTTTGCATTTCTAATGCTTATTTTGAAGCCTTACATGAAGTGAAAAGTGGAGGTGATAGTTCATTGCCATGCAAGATCTGGAAGTACAGTATTATTTTAAAAAATGAAGTTTTTTTGGAGATAGAGAACTTAATACATAAGGTAAGTAATTTCAGTGAGGAGGTTCTCAGAAGAACGTTGAAAACAGTCCAAAAAGAATCATACAGAATTCCAAAATAACTACAAAAAATGGGTCTCAGAGAACATAGATTATCAAGGTTTATAGTGCTTTAATAGGCCATTGCCTTTAAGTTAATTCTTCCCCTTTTCCCTTCCCCCATTATTTTTTTTTAAATGAAAAGATGCTTATTTTTCAAATTAATCTCAACATATCCCTTGGTCAATTGGTCTACAATAGGAGAAAGGTGGAAAAGCATCTTACTTAGACAGACAATGAGAATTTTAGGCACAGAGGACTGGGGGTTTTTTTAATCAATTTTGTTCCTCTCTAAAAAATGATATAAAGGGAGCTGTAAACCAATTAGCAGGTACTGTGCTGTACAGGGTAATTTTAAATTAAGAATGTATGTGACCATAGGAGATTAAGTAAAACATCAACCATAGGATTGAGAGGTAACTGTGGAATATATTTTATTTTTATACTTTTGTTTCACTGTTAGAGGTTTGATTCAGTGATGTTGTAAAGCTTTGCAGCAGCGTAGACAAAACAGGATGTTATCACCCACAGATGAAGTATCTTTGAGTGGCAGCATTTATTTTTTGCAAAGACTGTAAAGAGCAAGTATTACAAGAAACAGGAATCTGAGCTGGGGGAATAATTATGTATTTCTGCCCCCACCCACAATTTTCTCTGAAGGCCTTTCACTTCCAAGGGCTGAAAGACCTTTCTGTGTGATTTGTGCTAGTGCCACGTGCATGGAAGGAGGAAAATGGCTGAGACAGGTCACAGAGCCTGAAGTATGAGCTGCCAGCAGGGCTGGCTGCTCCCGCTGCTCCCGCTGCTCTCGCAAGGGC